CTCACTTGGTCTCAGTTGGCATCAGTGTAGCAAGGGAAGGGGGAGCTCTGCTTTCCATCACCAGAGGGGGAATTGGAAGTCCAGGTTCCCCAGCTGCTCTCTGCTGACACCCCCAGCTTGAAGGGGAAATCCATGGTTTTTTCTGTGGTGTTTGGTTGGAATATGGCAGGTATTGGCAAAAAGGTTTCTGTCCTGCCAGACCATTATTTTCCTGGTCCTTCGAAGAGAAAAGGCTTTTCTTGGAACTTTTTTTGTCTGGACCCATTTGCACTTCTGAGTTGCAGACTTCTCCAGCATACAGTCGAGGTTATGTGGGAGGCAGAAAGAAAACTCCTAGGAACCCAGCCACTGTGTTGTCCTCAAGACCAGAAGTCCTTGGGTAGTTTGCTACTTTCTTTATTCCTTTCAGAGTCTTCTTATGTTTCTTTTTTGTGTTATGCCTAGGGTTTCTAGCTATACTTAGCAGAAGGAATAGGGAGAGATGAGTCTTCATCTTATCCAAACTGTACCATGCCTTTTTTCTATTTCTCACCTTGTCTAAAAATCTTTCCTTTTTTATCTAGAATCTACTCATCCTTAAATGAGATTACATCTGTAAAGAACTTTGTATGGTGCTAGCCCTTTGTAAATACTTGAAATGGTATTAATCCTCACTACTTTCTCCTACCCTCATTTCATATCATAATACACTTCATGCTGCTATACTGCTTGTTTTGAAAACATGCGTTTATTCTAATGAGATTGATACATAAGAAAACAAGTTAGGCATAGCTCTAATTCATATCTGCCTATGGGTAATCTTGTATGCAACACTAGATGAATGCAGAAAACCATACCCAGCTAAACTGAGTACGAATACACAAAACACGCATGACACAAACCTCAAACCTCTACTAGCTACCCCAGTTTATTACCTGTATTATGAGCCAAATATGAATCTAACTACACTGGTTTTCAAATTTTCCATCCAGTTTCCGATAACCCTCTTTCCACTACTTTACAGTAACTTAAAAGCTGCAGCCCTTCTGATACTTCCATAAGCAAACCCCAGGTCTTTTTCAAAGTGAATTGCCATATTTATTATGGTATTTGTCTTTTTTTTTTTTTTAATGTTTCTTAACCATTTAATATGTGTAAAACTGTGCTGCCTTTTTTATTAGTTTTTCTTTTTTTTGAAGTGTTACTGACAAAGCTTTCAAGTATTGTCCCCTAACCGTATTTTCCACATAAGCCTTTTTATTGCACAACTTTTCACAGCACAGTGATTTTTAAGAACACATATGCTGTGTCATAGCGTAACTGACTATACTTCTCTAAAGCCTTTCTTCTTTACTCTTGCTCTCACCATATTTACTTCAAAATTCACATAGAATTTATAGTCAATATTAATACAAGAGTTATTATTTAGGTCTGTGTTCTCTGATGCTGTTTGCTATTGAATTTACAGTTGTTGGTCTTATTTTCCCAAATAGATTGTAAGCTCTCTGAGAGCAGAGACCACGCCTTACAAAGTTTTCTATGGAACTTCCCCACGTGCTCTCCAATTGTTTTATCTCCATGTCCTAGCATCATGTTGAGTATATATCTATTACTGTTCAGCTATACATACATGTTGTCTTTGAGGAGGATAAAATTTTAGTTAGACTCAAAATGTGCTTAGATCATATTTTTAAATTTAGGTTAATATAGATTTTGAAACCCAGGCTGCATTCTACTAGAACTACATGATAGTGGTACTAGCCAGTCTCTCTTTTTTACTTTCTTACCCTTATTTCTTTAACCGTTGTTTCTTTCTCAATCATTTGGTCTCATTTTTTTCTGAACAGATTCATGCTAAAAGGCATGTAAGTTAAATTTCATTCATAAAGTAATATTGACAGACATCAAAAGAGGGCACCTTTCCAACCTTTCTAAGCTCTATTTCAGTGCACATTTCCTAAAACACAATTTATTGTTTTTATAGTTAATGTTGTCTGATGGTCTGGCAGCTTATATTACCATATAAATAGTTATCTGTGTCCTTCCATATTGTGATATCTTGCTTCACTCAAACGTTTTTGTGAAAAATGATTTATAAGTTAAATAATGGTTATTTGAAATATATATATATACTTGGTGGGAGGGGGCTTTTTAAAGAAAGTCAGCTGGAATTTGTCACAGGAAAGAATTACAATGCAAAATAAATATAAGTTGAAGTTGATGAATAAAACTTTGTTAATCATAGGGAAAAAAATATTACTATGTTTAGTCAAATAAAATTTAACTGCTATGTTTTGTGTTTATGTGGGATATTGCTCACATTTTATGTGGTCTCAGATGGTCTCATTTATTTAGTTACTCATATTTATTGTGAATTAATTTTTTTCCTTGGGTTTCTTTAAAAGTTTGGGTCCCTCCACCCCCCCGCGTATTCCTCAGGTTTTAGCTTAGTATGTGTAAGTAGGTATTCAGTTTATACATGTTTACAACACCCACTCTGCCTCACCAGCAACAGTTGTTTTAGTATCAGATTTATAATCAAACTCATGAGAAAAAATAGGCTTTCCCCCAGCACTAAGTTTACTTACTTTCAAGAAAGGATAAAGGACAAGCAACACGCTTGTACAGCAGCAGCATAGTCGAGATCTCATGGTTTCCAGGTGCAGCCTGCATATATCTAGGTATCTCACGCTTGGTATGTATATGATCCTGAGGAACACAGCTGGGTGAGGAAGGGCTACCTCAGTTTAGGGAAGCCATTACTTCTGGGGACCCGTGAGCTTTTCTGTCTTGCTCCCATTCTCTAATGCAGCAGCATCTCATCAGTACTGGGTAAACAGTCTTAACAGTGAGCTGCAGGTTGATGGTCAAGTACATAATAAATTCTGAGTTCAGAGTTTCAAGGAAGATTTGGCCAAGAGTCAAATCCTCAGATGTTCCTAAGGCTATAACAAAGGTCACAAACCATCAAGTAAGGTCCTGTAACCAGACAGCTGACAGTCCAAAGATATATTTTCTTTGGCCTCCTTGATTTTTTCTTTTAATTATGGGAATATAATGACCACCCATGTTCACTACCCACCTTCAGCAGTTAACTCATGACTAAACTAATTTTACCTAACATCCCCAAGCCACTTTCCTTTTCTTTTGAAGCAAATCCCAGGCATAACTTTTTATCCATAAATATTTCATTATTTATTTCTAAAAGATGGTCCTTGTTGAAAACAACCAATACCATAATCGTATATATGCACGCACACACGCATGTATTCCTAAATATGAAAAATTGTGCCAGTGTTCAAATAAGGTTTATACACTGAGGATTGGGTCTTTTAAGTTTGTTTGTTTGTTTGTTTGTTTGTTTATAGATTCCCTCACCATCTCCTTTTATGTTTCCTTGAGATTTATTTGTTGAAGAAGTTAGGTCATTTGTCCTGTAGTGTTTCTCATAATTGCACAGACTTGGTTTTACTGATTTCATCCTTGTGTTACATACAGTTGTCCCTCTGTATCTGCAGAAGATTGGTTCCAGGACCACCTGTGGATACCAATATCTTTGGGTGCTCAAGTCCCTTATATAAATAGGGGTAGTATTTGCATATAAGCTACCTACATCCTAATACAGTGTAAATACTATGTAAATAGTTATTAACACTTACACTTAATTCTTTCTTAGTCTTTGCAAGCACTTCATCAGGAGCCTGAGCGACTCCCCCTAACCCACCCCCACCTCCAAATACTTTCAATCAGTGGTTGGATAAATCTGCAGATACAGAGGATTGACTGTAATGTGTTCCGTCTGTGCTTCCATTTCTTAAATATTGGTAATTAGATCTAGAAAACTGATCCAATTTAGTTTTGATTTTCTTGGTGTTTAATTTCTTTTGATGGGAGCAGGAGTCACACAGGACAGGTTGTTTCTGTGCTCTGTGGCAGTCATTGGTGGTCAGTGCCTCATTATAAGTTGCAAAATGATGCTATTCTAACTATAATCCCTTATTTCCTAGAATATTTCTTTATAATGAGCAACTTTGCTTCATATACTAAATTTGGTTAGCTAGTGGTACAGATTGTGTAAGAAAGGCAGGATTTACCAGTGTCATTATAAACTGATTGTTTTAGCATGTATGATGTGTTTCAATTCATTGTAGTTATTATCATATATCAAAGATGGAATGTTGTCCCACCCCTGGCCTGAGTTAGTCTCTTGATTTGAATTAGAAATACCTTTAGATGAGCCAGACTCTATCCAGTTTATCACATCCTCCTCGGATTCCTGTTGTATTACACCTGGTTGGTTTAATTTATGTTCATTGCTTAGTCCTTAGAGCGTTTGAGTTTTTTGACCCCTTTAAAAATTTTTACTTCCTTAACCTAAATGAAAATTTCACTTTGAAATGACTTTTTATAAAGATCCCCAAAACATAGTTTTTTGGTGTTGGTAACTGACTGCCCTCTGTTATAAGTTGGCTCTTCAACTGAAGCTGTGTTACTTAATCCTTAGAGGAATGCTCAGGCATTGAAGCATAAGCCCATGCCAATGGAATCATGTTTATTATCTTTTCATGTTCATGCAGAGTACTTTTTCTGTTTTTTTCCTGTTCCAGTTCTACCTCCAATCATGGTAATAAGAGAAATAGTTTAAAAAAAAAAAACTATACGATTAGAATCTGGGACTCTTAAATATTACTTCTGTCCCTTTTTTAAACTATGCTATTCCAGTGTTTATTATAAATAACTTAGTTATTTTAGACTCAGCTATTAACTTCTAAAATTTTCTTTGTTTTAATAATCTAACTCAGACTCATGAATTTGGAGACCTGGATTCTAATCCTGAGTCTGAACACCTTTCCTGTATAATATAAGCCAACTCACGTTTTTCATGTACCCCTCAGTTCACATAGCTGGATGAGCTAAATTTTAAATATTGGGCTTAGTGAGAATATGCAGAAAATTTGAATTTCCAGTTATAAAGCTTATCTTAAAAATACTGACCAAAACCTTTTTGTTTTTGATTTAAGCTAAGAAAGAAGAAAAGAAAAGGCATAAATCCTCTTCCTCCTCCTCCTCATCATCCAGTGACTCAGATAGCTCAAGTGATTCTCAGTCCTCTTCTGATTCTTCTGATTCTGAAAGTGCTTCTGAAGAGAAATCAAAAAAAAGGAAAAAGAAACATAGAAAAAATTCCCGAAAACACAAGAAAGAAAAGAAGAAGCGAAAGAAAAGCAAGAAAAGGTCTTGATTTTACTTCTGCAATACTAGTTTTATATTGTAATTCCCTTCTGTTTATAAATAAATCTACTGGGATTTTGGATCAATTATATGGGAACATTAAAATAGTAAGAAATATTTCATAGCATTAAGTATCATATGTGACCATTTTGATACTCTTCAGTCTATATAGATTACATTTGAGTGCATCCATTTCCATTTTCAACAGAACCACACAGATTGTTTTGTGTGCACTCCATGGGAAGATACTTTGGGTTTTATAGGTTTTTGTATTTTATAGGAAGAATATAGGATTTGTGAGAATTACAGTAAACCAGTAATAATTCTTTCTTGTAGTAGGAAACAAAGCAGATAATGTAAGAGTATTTTCTTTGTTCCCATTTTTTATGAAATTTTCTGTTTGTACTAAAACTTATCATTGTCTTTATCTGCCTGTTGTCTCAAAAGCAACTAATTTCTTTACCTACATTTTAAAATATTTTGAATTTATCAGTATATTAACCAAGGAGTCTTATATTTTGGGTTTATTTTCAAGGAAAATATTTTTTGAGAATATGATGACAAAAAACCTTTTTTTTTTTTTTGGTTAGTTAAGCTGATTTGTCAGAGGAATGGAGAAAAATTTTTCCTGTCTGATGGCATCTTTATGGGGGACAGGAGAGTGTATATATCATGACATCGTATTATAAAGGAAAGAAATACCGGCAACTGGAAATTAGGAGTACATAATAGTTAAATGTATCTTATTTTGTGTGTTTCTGTTAAGCGCATCTAGTGAAAGTGAGGCTGAAAATCTTGAAGCACAACCCCAGTCTACCGTACGCCCGGAAGAGATCCCTCCTATACCTGAAAATAGGTTCCTAATGAGAAAAAGTCCTCCTAAAGCTGATGAAAAAGAAAGGAAAACCAGAGAAAGAGAGAGAGAAAGAGACTGGTATGTGAATGTGTGTATTTTGTAGAGTACCCTACACTCTTAACCATAGACTTTTTCCTTTTTTAAAAGTTTTTACTCTTTCTGTATAAGATTTAATTGGTGATTTTGGCCCAAGATTAAAATCTTTTTTATAGGATGTTGCTAGCAAATCTCCTTATTGCTCAACACATAGCTAGAAAGATAAATTATAAGAATTTAAGTTACTTTTTTTTTTTAAAGTAAGTTACCTTTTTTTTTTCCCTTAAATAAAGCACTGCAGATCCAAAAAAAAGATACATCAAGTGGCATTGCAAACCAATTCCATTTATGGATGAGATGGTATAGTACTGTGTTATTTGTATGTATTAAACTTTTAGCAAGTAAGAGCTTTAATTTTTCAGTTTGTGTAATAGGGGAAAATACCATCCGCTTTCCACCTGACTTACAATACTGTGGTGAAAATTAATGTTACGTTCAAGTGCTTTGATAATTTTTCTATATAAATTTACGATATTAACATCAGTAGTTCTGTTGGTTCTTTAATGAATCATTTTAATAATTATGTCCAAAAATAGAAGAAGAAAATTGAAGCTTTTCTCTTATTAATGATCAGATTATGTGGTTATAACAACCAGACCCATTGCTGTTGAGTCAATTCCAACTTATAGCGACCCTATAGGACAGAGTACAACTGCCCCACAGGGCTTCCAAGGCTGTAATGTTTATGGAAGCAGACTGCCACTTCTTTCTCCTGTGGAGCAGCTGGTAGGTTCAAACTGTCAACATTTTGGTTAGCAGCTGCATACTTTAACCCACTGTGCCACCAGGTCTCCTGGTTATAACATACAGGTGATAAAATTCTAAGTGATTTTCCTATGCTTTCATAATACAGTAAAATTATAAAAATAAGACTTAGTTATTTGAAATTTGAGGGATTGGATTGAATTTATTTTTCCAGTAGTATTAGGAAAGGGTGTTCCTAAGGAAATAAATATTAAAGGGGAAATGTTTGAGCTACTTTAGAATTAATTTTTTAAATACTTAAGAAGTTTCACTTACATGGTTTCAGTTAATGTGCTAATTAAATTTTAACTCATACAACTATTTTTTGAAAACAAAGTTTCCCTTTTTGACATAAACCATGGTGTAAACTTTTTTCAGACCAGTTTGTCTCTGTTTAATTCACATTAGTTACATTTCTCTATAGTTCTGTAACTAATGAACAACTGCTTATAGGATAATCAGGTTCTCTGGAATAAGATAGTACTAAAATTGTACTCAACAGCATTTGAGAGCTCCCACTGTGAGCTCTTATATGTTAATTTTTCTTAGCACTAGCAGATTAACTTCATCTTAATGATTCATCTTAGTAATGATTCTCAACAGAGAGCTATTGGCATTTGGGGCAGGGTAGTCCTTCATTCTCAAACAGTATAAGACTTTTAGCATTCCTGACTCTTGCTTGGGCACTAAGAGTCAGTAACACCCCCTAGTCATTGACAACTAAAAATATGCTTACATACTTTTCCAGACACCTACTTGGAATTGATACCACTCCTGGTTGAGAACCACTGAAAATATATATATATATATGATTTTAAATTTATTAATTTATATCAGTAAAGCTATATTCTCTAGATTCATTTTTTATAAAACAATGTGTTTTAACTTGCCCTTTGCTTCCTTCTAGTAATCCACCTAACTCCCAGCCTGCTTCATATCAGAGGCGACTTTTAGTTACTAGGTCTGGCAGGAAAATTAAAGGAAGAGGACCAAGGGTAGGTTATTTTTCCCCCAGAAATCTTTATGATATTGCATTTGTGTCCCTTAAATAATTTTAGAGTGCATCTTTAAGTATTATTTTATTGTACAAATATTAAAATTTAGGGAAGATGTGGATATTGAATACTGTATACCCTTTTTATAATGTAGAGTATTTCATTCTCTTGACTGAATTCATCAGAATTTAAATATCTTTTTATGTTTGCAGAACTTTTAAGAAATTTGACTGTGTTTAGTATCTTATTTCTTCTCTTCCCTATTCATTCCTCAACAATTTTTCTTTTTCTTCTACCCTTACCGTTCTACTGAGAACAGCTTTTGCTATATAGTCAGCACCATGTCACAAAATCCAGTGGATCCTCTTCAGTCTTCAAGTTACATGATCTCCCTCCTTGTAATACTCTTTTCCTCTCTGCTTCCATGACATTTTCCTCCTATTTCTGTGGACAACCTGTCTTAAATTTCCAATGCCAGTTCATACTCTGCTACCTGACCTTTGAATATTGGAGTACCTCCAGGTTCCAACTCTTCTCGCTCTGCAAATGCTCCCTGGGCAGCCCCATCACTCCCATGACTTCAGTTGTTATGTGTATGCTGTTAATTGTCAAATTTTCTTCTACTCTTCTCAGCATGAAAGTCTTATCAGGCAGCCATTTAGCTGCCAGATGGGCACCTCAGACTTAGCATACCCAAAGCTGAACATAAACACTTGCTCTTCAGACCTGATCCTTCAGATTTCTGGTCTCAGTGATTGACACCATCATCTGTGCATTTACTTAAACCTGAAGCCAAAGAATCATTTTGATTCTCCAATTTCTTTTATGCCTGTATATCTTACCATCTCCAAATTCTGCCAGTTCTGCCTCCTAAATACTCTGAAATCCCTGCTTCTTCAAGCTTTAATCCCACCATCTTAATGCAATTCATCATCATATATTGTCTAAACTAGTATGATGGCTTCCTAACTGATGTCTTGGCAGTTCTCAAACTTTTGTCTCAGGACCCCTTTACACTTTTAAAAATTATTGAGTACCCGAAAGGGCTTTCGTTGTTGTGGGTTGTATCTATCAGTGCTCACCATTTTAGAAATTAAAACTGAGAAATATTTAAAACACAAGTATATATAAGCACACATTCCATTAGCTGTGAAAGCAGACACATAAAAACATGTCATGTAGTCTGAAAAACTCCACTGTATAATCATGAAAGAATCAATGTGAAAAAAGCAAATAATGTGATATTAGTATGAAAATAGTTTTGACCTCACAGATCCCTTGAGTCTTGGAATTCCTAAACCACACTTAGGAATCACTAACTAGAATGGTTATTTTAAAAGTAAAAATCTGATTATGCCACTCCTTTGCCCTTGATTTTAGGATAGATGCAAAGTTCTTACATGGCCTACCTACAAGACCTCCCAGAATCTAGTCCCTATTGCATCATTGTCAGTATTATCTAATACCACTTTCCCTTTCAAAGTTTTTAGTTCTAGCCATACTAATCTGTCTACTGATTATTTCTAAAACATATGTTCCTTCCTGTCTCAGTATCTTCAGACATGATATTTCTTACACCTCAAATGTTTTTCTTCATCCCTTTATCCTTACCCCCTTTTCCTCTTGTCTACCTAGCTTGTCGTAAACATCCTTCAGTTCTCAGCTTTTAATTATCACTTAACTGTTTGCACACTTTCCCCATACTTGATCAGATTATCTTTGTTATATACTCTGAGCATCTTTTATTTTTCCATTTACATTCATTCTAATTGTAGTTGCATATATGCTTACTATCTGATTGTGTGTCTGTCTGTGTATTCTAGCCCTGTAGAATATGAATTACAAGAGAGCAAAATTGTGTCTTGGTTGACTAATGTTTCCTCCAGTATGTGATAGAGTGGTTATTCACTTAAGGGCTGAATAAATATTTGTTGAATAAATGAACATCCATGCATTTGAGATACGTTTGCTTGGAAACATTAAATATATCAAACCAAACCCGTTGCCATCGAGTCAATTCCGACCCTACGTACAACCAAACTGAAACGTGACAACTTGTAAGAGTTATTGCACCATCACTTGGATAGGAATCTTCCAGGGAGATAGTTGAGGGAGATGGATGACATAGAAAGCTACAGTATTCTGTAGTAAATGCTTTTATTTGGAACTTGCAGTGTGACTATCTGAAGTTTCTCTGCCTCATTGATTTCCTACCTGAAAATTGGGAAATTCTAGTAATTGTAGAGTACAAACAAATATCAGAAATTTTATTTGAACCTAGAAATACTTAATGTTTGCTAAGGATAAAATTTTAGCTATTGTTGCAATGCTTTTGTATTTTTAATATCTCAATTTTTTTTCCTTTTTTACTTAAGCGTTATCGAACTCCTTCCAGATCCAGATCAAGGGATCGTTTCAGACGTAGTGAGACTCCTCCACATTGGAGGCAGGAGATGCAGAGAGCTCAAAGAATGAGAGTATCAAGTGGTGAAAGATGGATCAAAGGGGATAAGTAAGATTTAACTATATTATTTCAAATGCATGGAACAAGTAGTTTTCTATACTATTGTACATAATTTTATTAATAGACATTTTAATTGTTTCTGAATACCTTAAGGAAGATGGAACACCATTTTAGCTAATAGTAGACACCATTCTTTTCCTAGTAAAATTTTCTAAAATCTTTAATGTTTTTTCTTATTTTTTAGGAGTGAGTTAAATGAAATAAAAGAAAATCAGAGAAGCCCAGTTAGAGTAAAAGAGAGAAAAATGACTGATCACAGACATATGTCTGAGAGTCCAAACAGAAAAAGCGAAAAAGAAAAGAAAGTTAAAGATCATAAATCTAGTAGCAAAGACAGAGACGTCAGAAGAAATTCAGAAAAAGATGATAAATATAATAAAAACAAAGTGAAGAAAAGGGCTAAATCTAAAAGTAGGAGTAAGAGCAAAGAGAAATCAAAGAGTAAGGAAAAAGATTCAAAGCATAATAGACATGAAGAGAAGAGGATGAGTTCAAGGAGTAAAGAAAGGGATCATGAGAATGTTAAGGAAAAAGAAAAGCAGTCTGATTCTAAAGGAAAAGATCAGGAAAGGAGTGGAAGTAAAGAGAAGTCAAAACAGACAGAATCAAAAAGTAATGGGCATGATCATAATAAAAGTAAAGAAAAGGATAGACGCGCTCAGACTAGGAGTAGAGAGCGTGATATAACTAAAAGCAAACACAGTTACAATAGTAGGACAAGGGAACGAAGCAGAAGTAGGGACAGGGGCAGAAGAGGGCGATCTAGAAGCCAAGACAGAGATCGCAGCCGAAGCAAGGAGTACCATAGATACAGAGAACGGGAGTACAGGAGAAGAGGAAGGTCACGAAGCAGAGAGAGAAGAGCAACACCAGGAAGATCGAGAAGTAAAGATAGAAGGAGAAGGAGGAGAGATTCACGGAGCTCAGAGAGAGAAGAGAGTCAAAGCAGAAACAAAGAAAAATACAGAAACCAAGAAAGTAAGACTTCACACAGAAAAGAAAATTCTGAGAGTGAGAAAAGAATGTACTCTAAAAATCGTGATCATAATAGCTCAGCTAATAACAGGGAAAAAAAGGCTGATAGAGATCAGAGTCCATTCTCAAAAATAAAACAAAGCAGTAAGGACAATGAATTAAAGTCCTCCACATTGAAAAACAAGGAGGATGACAAGACCAGATCCTCAGTGGAAAAAGAAATCAACCAAAAATCAAAGGGTCAGGAAAATGACCACATACATGACAAAAATAAAAAATTTGATCATGAATCAAGCCCTGGAACAGATGAAGACAAAAGTGGATAAGTGAGTTGTGTAAACTTATTTCCATTCTGTCTCAAATTTTAAGTTTTAGAGACTTGCTGATAAATCATCTTTATGTTGTTTTCCTCTTCATTCTTTTATGGGTTGTTCTATGTTTTTTTTTTTTTTTTTTTTTAATGTGGACTTCATTTAGTTGATCTTTTGATAATCTGCAACCTGGATAATTTGTACTGCTAAAGTTTTAATAAACTTGAAATGAGAAAAACACTTTGTGTAATACTGTGTGCTGTGTTTGACTATTTCACGTATGCATTTTTGTGTTGCAACAATCAGCCAATAGCAAACATGCTATACTACATCCTGATTTGTTTGATAACAGGCATAACTGATTGTTGCAATACATTGTTACAAAAGCTTGTGTTTCTCATCACTAAAGTTAGAAGCCACTAGGTAGAAGATAATCTTGTATAGATTTTCTGACTGCATTTATAAACAAGCCTTGCAGTAGTTCCTTCTAATAACACAAAGCAGGATCCTAATAACTTGAGATCTTAAATCTTCACTTTTGATTTTATAGTAGTTTTGATTTAAATAGATAAATATGTAATTATTTACATTGCATTTCATATTTGATTCTTCCAGACTGTAAAGCTTGTTTCACATTAATTTTCCTGTCGAATTCAGTTTTATTTAACTTTATAAAAATAGTTCTGAGTTTTTATTCATTTATTTTGTTTTTCAGTTGATGTACTGATTTAGCTTGACTTGCTGTTATACAGCATTTGACAGGACTATACCTTGGAAAATCAGATTTTAATTCTCAATTCTGTTACTGCTTTTGGGCTGAAGAGTTGAAATTGTTGCTTTGGGGAAACATTTATTATTATTACCCTTTTCTAAAATTAAAAAAAAAAAAAATTCTCACTAAAACGTATCACTTGTGCAAGTCCTTAAGTTAGGCAGATTCTAAAAGTCATTAGTATTGACACATTAACTCCCAAGATTTCTTTTTTGGCCACCAACCTATAATAGAGTTTAGTGTTAACTCTGCATGGTTTTGTTTTGTTTTGTTTTTTTTAATTGAACGAACTCTCATAGTTGTGAGTTTCAAATGTCAGGAAAATGCATTTTTTCTATATATATATCATGATAGGCTACATAGCATGTTCATTGACTCTGGTTTCTGTTTAGGTGGCTTTAAACTATTATTGTTAACAGTTCTAACTTGGCATGTATATAACATTGCCACATAGAGTAGAAAGTTGGAAAATTAGAGAGCTAAAGATACCCAAAAGTCATTTAGATTTTGTGTGTTGTATTTTGCTATTTTGTGATGTGTGGCCTTTTATTCTGTAATTTCTCTTCTACATAAAACATTGAAAATCCAGCAAACACAAAACCGGCCTCATTTTAAAAGAAATTTCATAATTCCAATTAATAGTAGTCTAGAGTGTTTCCTACTTTAATATTTGTTGATATGGTGTTAACTGTATTATCAGGGTAGCTTCTTGATAAACCCAGTAGCTACTCAATGCTATTTGTACTAAATAAGGCAGTGCTTAACATAATATTTCTCATTATTGATTAATACAGTAATGATACATTTGGCATTGAGATAATTGTTTACAGAATGAATAGGATAATGAAGATAAAAGTGTTTAGAATCTTAAATATCCACAGTGCAGTGTTTCCAAAACTTTTTACCTGATAATAAAAGTAATAGATATATATTATAATCCAGGGTATTTGATTGTTTAGGGACTTTGACCACAAACCCACTTTAGGGATAATTGAGTCTGAGTGCCCAAGCTGTATAATCTGTTAAATATTTTAAACAAGTTATTGCTTGTCTTAAATTCAGCAAACTGCATTTTTAAAATCTTTGTGATAAACTATTTGAGCTTCAAGAAAGGTGCTATTTAAGAAAGGATTTCTAATAACATATATTTTTTAAAAGCCCATGCTAAGTAAAAACACTTCCGTGTTGTCTGATCCCAGAGCTTTATCTACCAAGAATTACAGACAAGTACTCTAAATGTTAGAGTTTTGAAAATAACCATAGTGAAAAAAATTTTAGTACCTTCTACGAACAGTATTCTTCTGTTTGGCTATCAAAAGAGCAGCTCCATGCTAAGCATTATTTAAATCCCCTCCTCCCACCCGCACCCCCACTTTTTTTTGTAAGGTTTCGTAGCCGTTGTAACAGTAGAACACATTTCGTCAAGGAGTTCAGATGAGAGGTGAGAACCAAACTAGATTTTATTTTCAGAATATAAGGAATGTTTAGACAGTGATTAAATAACATTAACTGTACCTCAAGATCTCTTGCATCTGAATACCGCACAGCTCAAATGGTCTTATCCTTTCATTATATTTGTAATATTTGTGCCATCTTTATTTTTTACTTTCAGCATACTGTTTTCCTAAAAATCAGTTATTCTGTCCTGTTAAATTGATTTTATAGTTCATTCCTGAGCTTACAGTTTATTTCAGTGTATCTTTGACTTAATATCCTTTTAAGAATAGTTCTGTTTAAATTTTGTTTTTGTTGCTCAGTTGGTGGTATCTGAAAATTTTTTCAGAATATAGAATTTTTATGATTATTTTGTGTAAAATATTTTTCTGGGTAAGTTATCTGCCACAGAAATTGACACTACAGAGAAATTAATGTTAATGAAATGAGCAGTAGAGAAGTTACTGGATTGCTTTAAGACTAAGTGGCCTTTGATCTTGTGCCAGTGAATGATATGAAGGTAAAACAAGTAAATATTCCTTTATGTTATAAGCAGGCACACATTTGGTTTCTGGTATTTTGGGCAGTGGTATTAACTGATAATTCTAATTTATTTTCAAGTTAGTATATAAAACTAGTTTTTTGTTTTTTTTTTTTTTTAAGTACGGCTTCACACTTCAGGTAATAGTTTTCATCACACTTTGAACTTTTTATTAAAAAGTTTCTATAGAAACCTGTTCAGTGTGCCTCCAGCAAAAGGTCCTTTAAATATACATCATATAACTGGTTGCTGTAAAGAACCATAAAATGGATATTTGTCTCCTTTTTTTTCAAATTAATTCAGTTTGTGATTCATACTTTCACAGTTGAGCAAACCCTCCAAGGATTGTAGGTTGATGCCGTTTGTTGTGAAAAAATTCTTGTTTAAAAAAATTAATAAAGATAAGCCCCAGCAAATGCAACATTTCGCTGGCACACCTGTCCATGGTGGACTTCCCTGCTGCTTTTATAGGACTCAGGTAAATCAGACTCTTTGGCCTGTAGTGTGACACAAGATGGAAATACTAAAGGAAAAGAAAAACCAATCACATGAATTAAGAAAATTCCATTAGCAAAGTTGGAGAAAGAAATTGTTGAGGGTTTTTTGTTTATTTTTGGTGCAAGAGGGAGTGGGAGTGTTGATTTGTGTTTCTGCCTTTTTGTTTTTTTTAAAAGCAGATTTCTTACGTTATCAGAAGCATACACTATATTTTCTTCCCCTTTTATGTGTTTATAGTATTTTGAAAGATTGATAAATGAACTGGGTATTTGTATGTAGGGATGTTAAAGGTTCTGTGGCTGATCTCTTTGTGGAAGGGAAAACATAAATGAAGATAATGCACTTCCTTTTCCAAGCTCAAAAGTCACTGTGATGTATATTTTTTTAATGAAATTTAGAAATAAAGCTGTTGTCTTCTCAATTATAAAATTAGTTTCAAATGCTGCTTCTCTTACCATCAGTAACTGTTGAACTGTTTTCAGCAAACTGCATTTTACAAAATTTAAGCTTCAAAAACTGTATTAACTTTTATAGTTAAACATTGTATTAAATAAACTACTATAATAAACAGTTTGTTCTTTGTATTTTTTAAATTATTGTTGTATTAGTTATTCAACCTTTATTTTTATTAAACGCCAAATAATGGAGATAAATAAAAATACTGTTTTATTTTACCTACTGGGGATGTAGAATTATTTCTATTAAGAGAAAGCAAAGAGTTTCACAAAAAGCTTCTGTAAGAAGTTAACCAGCAGTGAGAGTTTCCAGAAAGCGATTTGGGAATAAGTTCTAGTGTAAATATTTATTCATAGTGCTTCAGATTTCAGTGTATCTTTTGCCTCAGCAAACTTTTAAAATTAAACTTGGAATTTGCATTACTATCAGTTGGAATACTATTTGCTTAAGTCTCTGAATTTCTCAGCATTGGAAACACTAATGTATCCTGTGACTGCTAGTTTAAATACAACACCATTGTAAAGCCATATAAATATTGACTTTTGTAAAACAAATTGGTGGTCTAATTTGAGGTTTTTTGTTTTTACTTAGACATATTTAGAGAAAATGTACCTAGTTAATGTGAGAGAGAGCCAGTCACTTAAATGCCTAGGTAAAAACGTTCTGACCATTGAATGGTCTATATGTGTTAATAGGTGAGTATTATTAATAAACTCTGAAGTGTTTTTAAGTATCTTACAGCCAAGAGGATATGTAAAATGTGAGTGCTTTATATGGACTTCGCAATTGTGTATTAAAAATACTTTCAGCATCGATTTGCTTTTCCTATTTTCATTGCTTTCTAGGTTTTTATCCTAAACATATTTCCTAACCTAATATTTCCTTTTTTTAAAAGCGCTAATTTATTTTTACATCTCTTTTTTTTCCTCAAAACCTTAATACCCTAAGTGTCTTAGTTCCGGTTTACGTCTTTGCCACAAATTTTGGCTGTGGGTTTCTTTTATCAAATTAGCAGATTAGGGCAGTTGTATTTCCACTGTTTTGAGTGGCTTTGTCACTCAGTTCTTTTCACTGAATTGTTTGTGTGTTAAAGAAACATTCAGATAGCCCCCTCCCTCTTTTTTTAATATGTAGTCAACTCTAGTAGAAAGGTCAGCAAAATTGAAAGTAAAATAATCAAATTAATTGTATGTGTAAGGGAGAAAAACTAATAATGTCGTTTGTGTATTATGCTATCCTTCAGTCAGACCTAAGTTGGTTGTAAAACAAGTTTTTGTAATGAACCATTTTATAGAAACTGATTTCCTGGTTTATAATGAGAAAATAGCTTTATCCAAAACTAATATTCATCCCTGCATAATAATACCTTTTAAAACGTAAAGGAAATGGTATATGACAGAGGTTCAAATTTTCTTGGTTTATTGTGCCCTTGTGTTTCAGTGATTTTTATGTGGTATCCCTTGGCCAAAAGAAATACCCAACAGTTCTGTTTATTAAATAGTGAAGTTCAAATAGCTAAAGTATTTAACTTCTAACAACTTAGTAACTATTTGAAAAATTGAAATAAAAGAAAAAATATATTCTTAAATAACCACAACTAATTACTAATAGCATGTGTGTAACTGTTGGTCATTGTACAACTTTTCAAACCTTAGAATCAGATTGGAAACCACCACTCACTTCCTGTGCTACAGTGATTTTCATGCAGTACTTGAGTTTTATCCCAGCAAGTGTTGAAAATCCACCGTAACAAAGATGTCATTGAAGGAATGGGACATTCAGTATGTTGAAACTACCTCAAGCTAGTAACAAATGCAGTGTCCTGTAAATGTCAAATGTCACTGTGTTCCCCTCAGAATTTTAAAATATCTTACCAGCGGTGCCCTTGTGAGTCCTCTGTGGTCCCTCAGAGCGCTTTGGCACACAATTTGGAAATCAGTACATGTAGTTATCTTTCTAATACTTAATCACAATTCATATGTTTATTTTTTTAAGCAGGTTGTTTTTAATTTAGATCCAGATCCCCAGAGGAAACCCTGGCAGCGTAGTGGTTAAGTGCCACCGGCTGCTAACCAAGAGGTCAGCAATTGAGTCCACCAGGCATTCCTTGGAAACTGTTGGGCAGTTCTACTGTGTCATACAGGTTGTCATGAATTGGAATCGACGGCAATGGGTTTTGTTTTGTTTTTTAATATTTCCAAAAGAACAATGGCTGCCCACAGAATTATCTATGCCATATTTTAAAAGTGGAAGTTGCCAGACGTACTAAATCAGAATCTTGGGTATGGATGAGAATCACAGCTCTGTGCAGTCTAAGAATGGGCTTTGTGGAAGTTCAGGAAATACGTGCAGAATTTAGTGTATTTGTATACCTGATCGTTGGAGGAGCTGCAGTTTTTATCAGATTCCCAGAGAGGATCATAACATCAGAAAACCGTGGTCTCCAAGAGAATGATGTTCTTTTACCTCAATGTTTTAATCCAGTATGTTGAAACACTGCTGCATCTCTACACTATTTACATAAAATAGGAATGAGTTTAGTCTTCTAAGTTTCATCAATATTGCAGTGCTCAGAAATTTATAGCAGTAAATGCCTATATTAAAAAAAGATCTCAAATTAATAACTCAGAATAGAAAATCTCAACAGACCCATAACGTGAAAAGATTGGTGTTCAACAAAGGAGCCAAGAACATTCAATGGGGAAAGAACAAATGTTGCTGGGACAACTGGATATCTATATGGAAAAGAATGAAGTTGAACCCTTACACCATATACAAAAATGAAAATGGACCAAAGACCTAAATTTAAGAGCTAGAATTATAAAACTCTTAAAACGGAAAATTTTTATGACCTTGGATTTGGCAAAGGATTCTTAACTATGACACCAAAAGCATGAGCAACAAAATTTGATACATTGGATTTAATAAAAACTGAAAATATTTGTGCATCAACTGACAATACTAAGTGAAAAGACAACCTACGGAATGGGAGAAAATATTTGCAAACTACAGTGAAACCTGTGAGCCAGAACTCAGTGGGACTGCCTTGTTTTCAGGTCTCACAAGTTTTTCACCTCTGACAGGGTGCAGTCTTAACCACTTTTCTATCGCTCATTTTAGTGGAAAATACTTGCATTGTCCTTCTCAGAGGTTTCTACCTTGCACAGGTTCCACCTTTTGCAGATTTTACTGTATATATATATATATATAGATATAGTATACAGATATATGATGAGTCTAGTATCCAGAATATATAAAGAAGTCTCGACAAAAGGAACCTAATTTAAAAATGGGCATAAGATCTGAATAGACATTTCTCCAAAGAAGATACATATATATATGGTCAATAGGCACAAGATGTTAGACATCATGACTCACCAGGGAAATGCAGATCAAAACCATAATAACGTACCAGTTCACACCCACAAGGATAACCATAAAAAGAAGTGTTGGCTAGCATGTAGAGATATTTTGCAACCTTCATACATTGCTGGTGGGAATGTAAAACAGTTCAGCCACTTTGGAAAACAGTTTCTTGGTTCCTCAAAACGGTAAACAGCATATGATGACCCAGCAATTCCACTCCTAGATACATACCCAAAACTGAAAACATGTTCACATAAAAACGTGTACAAAAATGTTCATAGCAGCTCATTCACAACAGCCGAAAGGTAGAAACAACCCCAATGCCCATCAACAGATGACAAGCAAAATGTGGCTTATCCATACAAGGAAATATGCAGCCACAAAAAAGAATAAAGTGCTAAAACATTTTACAATATACACGAACCTTGAAACACATGCCATATGGTTCCATTTACATGAAATATCCAAAATAGGAAAATTCATAGAGACCGAAAGATTAATAGTTGCCATGGGCTGGGGACAGCAGGAAATGGGGAGTGACATCTTAATGGTTATGGGGTTTCCTTTTGAGAAGAAAAATTTCTGGAACTAGATGGTGATGGTTGCACAATATTATGAATGTACTTAATGCACTGAATTGTACATGTTTAAATAGTTAAAATGGTAACTTATGTGCATTTATCACAAGAAAAAGAAAAGGTGAGTCAATTAAGGGTTTTATATATCCAGTGGAAATACTGTGAAGACTGAATTAAATCAGACATAATTGTACTTAGATGAAGAGCAGCTTTATTAACAAATTATAGGTATATAATTCATTTACCTTTGTAGCTCATATTATTTGCTACAAATTCGTCTTCTCAATCTTAAAAATAAAATTTTCTACCATGTAAACCCTAGCCTTCCCTTAGACTTTTGAAAATTATTATATTTTGATCCCCGAGAGTTATAAAAAGGGAGCTGGACCCCAATGACATCATTTGCCTGATAGCTGGGTCTTAATCCACCTCTGTCCACAAACACTGGTCCATGGCCACCTCCAGGTCCTTCCTGTGCAGCTTTTACAAGAGGATAAACATATTTATTTGTTGTTTGGGACTCTGATTCAATTACTTCTCTTGCATAATTCTGGAATTCTTTCTCCTTTTCAGCCACAATAGCTTCAGTAAGTCTGCAATAATCTATTTCTGTTTCTTTTGATTGTTTTGCATTAAACTTATTTTTGGCCTATTTGGGAAAGAAAGGAAATACAATTTTCATTACTGGTTTACAAGATCAACTTTCTGAATAGATGCAGCATTTAAAGTTGTAGGCATAATTCTATAAGCTCATTGATATTTTACAAATTCTGGTTTTACAATTATAATTATTTAGAAACTTGTGCATCTCAGAATATTACCATACTTAAAGTAGTGGCTCAGAGAAAAATAATAGCCTTAAGTGATAAACATCTTCAAACAAATACAGAAAAATACTTAAAATCATTTTAACTATTTCTTTTAACTAGTTAAAGGAAATTTAGATAAAATCAGATGAAGTTTGAATCCTGTTTCTACTATTTTTAAGATGTGAACCAAAATTTTGTAGCTGTAGAAGGCATACCATTCATTGCCCCAACCCATCTACCATTCTAAAGAAAATTACTCAATCTCACAGTTCCTGGGTCAGCCCAATATACCATGTGACCCAGCCACGTAAGATTAAATCAGCAGTGAGTATCTGAACTAAATTACAAATTACATTCCCTTTCTCCCAAGATTTTTAAAGTTGGAACACTAACATTCACCAATGTAGGCTGACTAGGAACTGGGTAGAATAAGTAAGCAATCTACCAAATGCCAGTTTACCAAAATTTTACAAAAATTTATTTAACTTTATATTCATCCCAAATTTTTAACTGTTCATATCAATTTACATTGAATGAGGTGATTTTAATAGCTTGGGAAGATTTCTGTAAAGTTCTGGTTGACAACTTTTGTGTTTATACTAGCAGTTTAAGAAATGCTGAGTTTGTAAAAATAAAAAGGGGGGGCTTAGAGTGATTCTGTCTACTTATGAATATATTTAATATTCATGAAAGTATTTTTCAATGTAAGTTACCAAAACTTCAGCATAAGACAGAACCCCAAACCTGACATCCATCCACCATAAACTGAGCAACCATACGAATATGAAATAAAATTTTTATTACTGAGTGCTACAACACAAAATAGTAAAAAGCATGAAAGGCTTATGTGCTATTTGTGGAATTAGTGATAAAATACAAGGAGTCTGAATAAATAGAAAATGACATTCAATAAGATTGGAGAAAAAAGTTAGAAAAGGCTAAAAGTATAACATCAAAAGCAAAATGCTATAATTTGGGATCCTAACAAGGAGCACTGGGATATGTTGATTTGGTAACAGTTTTCAGAAGGATATTGTGGGAACAGGAAGGACCATATGAAGCAGCAGAAAGGACGTGACAATGAAAAGAAGGGATTATAATGGATCGTATGATTAGGGTCTCAAATATGATATGCATTAAACATAAATACAAATTTGTAAACTAAGTTTGGTTTAAAATCCTAAAAATGCTAACAGATGGACAAAGTAACAAGCACCTTTGGAAGATACTATAGAGCTAATTAATTATTTTGAAAACTGGAAAATAAAAGGAAAAAAGTAGTTACCCTGTCTTTTCTACACAAATTTTATATCAAGCAAACCAAATATTTGATCATGAAAATTTTTTGAAGCCTTCAGCAAACAAATGAGAAGTAATGAGAGAATATCAACATTTTGGTACCTTATGAATTAACAGACCTAGGCAATGATCATCAAAGACAGCTAACATCACAGAAAGTGAGACCAATCATTATGTGCCTCCTAGCTGAAGTATGTAACACCTGTGTGGAATTCTCACACACACACAGACACACACACAGACACAGACACACACACACACCCCCACCCACCCACGCACCCACCATAAACACAAGAAAGAGAAGGAAAGGGAACCTAGTAGGGTAGGAAGTTATATTAACCCATTGCCATCAAGTTGATTCCAACTCATAGCGACCCTATAGGACAGAGCAGAACTGCCCCATACAGTTTCCAAGGAGCGTCTGGTGGATTCAAACTGCGAACCTTTTGGTTAGCAGATGTAGCTCTTAACCACTATGCCACCAGGGTTTCCAAGTTATACTAGACTTAAAAGACATGTCAACCAAATGGAATATATGGACTTCATTTGATCCTGATACAACAAACTCTTAAACACGTGACAAACACGATTTAGATGTGACAATAGGTGATTATGTTAATTTCCCTGTTTTAGAGATGTATACTGAAATATACAGAGAGATAAAATGTTATGATATCTAGGATTTGTTATGTATATTTTCACCACAATTCAAAAAAATTTAAAAAAAGATTTTTAAAGTATATAGACTGGAAAGGAAGAATTAAAACTGTCTTTATTCATAGATCATATAATCAATATGTAGAAAATTATAAAGAATCTACAAAAAAAGCCACTAGAACTCATAAGTGAATGTAGCAAGGCTGCAGGATGCAAATCAATATAAAAAAATCAACAGTATTTCTATATATTATCAACAAACAATCCAAATATGAGATAAAAAATTTCCTTCACAAGGACATAAGAAAACAGAATAAATTAAAGGTTGCAAAAGGCCTGTACACCTCAAACTACAAAACACTACAGAACATAAAGAAGATCTAATAAAGAGATATTCAATGTTCATGGATTTGAAGACTCAATATTGTTACATTATTCCCTCAAAATGATTCTCTCCAAAGTATTTTCCCCAAATTGATCTATCTATATAGTTAATGCAATTGCAATAAAAATCCAGCAGGGTTTTTTTTGCAGAAACTGACTTGATTCTAAAATGTATGTGGAAATTCAAAGCACCCAGGATAGCCAAAATAATTTCTTAAAAGACCAAAGAGGACTTACACTACCTAATTTGAAACCCTGGTGGTGTAGTGATTAAGAGTTACGTCTGCTAACCAAAAGGTCGGCAGTTCGAATCCACCAGGCGCTCCTTGGAAACCCTGTGGGGCAGTTCTCCTCTATCCTATAAGGTCACCGAGTCGGAATCGACTCGAAGCAACAGGGTTGATTTTTTTTGGTTTTATAAAGTTACAGTAATCAACAGAGTATAGCATAGTATACTATAAGGATAGATACCATATTTTTACGCAAATAGTGCACGACTTCTACGTTTGTTTGCCAACTGTGCCCTCTTCCCATGTGGTATTTTCATAAGTGCTGCTATGCCAATTTTTTCTTACATGTTGCTGTAAAAAAATTAGCATAGCAGCACTTACGAAAATACCACACGAGGGGAGGGCGCGGTTGGCAAACAAACTTAGAAGGCATGTGTTATTTGCCTAAAAATACAGTAGATTAATGGAACAGAATCAAGTGTCCAGAAATAGACTCACACTTATATGGTCAACTGATTTTCAATCCAAGTTCCAGGGTAATTCCATGAAGAAAGGATAGTCTTTTCATCAAACAGTACTAGAATAACTGAATATCTACACGGAAAAATGAATTTTGACCTTTACCTCACATTGTATACTAAAAATAATTCAAAATAGATCATATGCCTAAACATAAGAAACCCATAAAACTTATAGAAGAAAACACAGGACAAAATCTTTATGATCTAGTTTAGGCAAAGTTTTCTTAGCAGTGATACAAAAAGCACACATTACAAAATAAAAAACTGATAAATTGGACTGCATCAAAATTAAAAACTTTTGCTCATTGGAAGATAACATTAAGAAAATGAAAATGAAACCCACAAATATGGAGAAAATATTTGTAAACATATATCTGACAAAGTACTATCTAGAATATATAAAGAACTCTTAAAACTCAACAATAAGAAAACAACCCATTTGAAAAATGGGCGACAGGTTTGAACAGACATTTCACCAAAGAAGGCATACAAATGGCTAACAAGCACGTGAAAAGATCAATATCTTTGGTCATTAAGGAAATGCAAAATAAAGCTATGAGATTCCACTAAATGGCCACTAGAAAAGTTAAAGGACAATGCCAAGTGTTGGTAAAGATGTGGAGCAACTTGTACTTGCATAGGTTGCTGGTAGGAATGGAAAATGATATAGCCATTTTGGAAAACAGATTTTAGTCACAAATGAATGGACACCAGATACTCTCACTCACCTCAAATCTAAAACCTACGAGATCCCAGTCAACACAGTGTCTGGGATGTAGTTATAAAGGTAGAAAAAAGTAAAAGAAGATGAACTTCATGGGCCGCCGAATACATTTGAATTTTATTTAATATTTACTAAAGCGCAATAGACACTAAAGAAGGAAAAATATTTGTGCAAAAATATAAACCTAGCAGGGGTACTTTACACACACACACACACTGTTGCCGTCAAGTCGATTCCGACTCATAGCGACCCTAAAGGACAGAGTATAAGTGCCCCATAGAGTTTCCAAGAAGCGCCTGGTGGATTCGAACTGCCGAACTTTTGGTTAGCAGCCGCAGCTCTTAACCACTACGCCACCAGGGTTTCCTGTGGGAACTTTAATAAAGATAAAAATTGAAACTAATTTCACATTTTTGATATATTATTATGTCATAACCATGATGATCATTTGTTCTTACTCAAAAAAGGAAACTGCTTAAGAGATAGAAAACTAGCGTGAATTCTATCTAACATAATTATTGCTAAAATAAGTAAGCACATTTAGGAATAATTACCATTTGCTGAATATGGGCATCGTGAACTTTTCTGCGTTCTTCATCAGCTTTGCGTTTTTTCACCTTTTCATGCTCCAAAAAAATCTTATCTGCTTTCAAGATATCCAGTAATTGTTCTTTAGCATTTATTTTTCTTTGTCTTTCTTCTTCCTCTTTGTTTTTCATCTAGATGTTAAAAGGCAAAGGAAAGAAATTAAAACCAGTTTTGGCAACCAGTGCTTTCTCATAAGGTAGAGAGTTAGAAGGCTCCAAGCAGAAGGCCAGCCAGGAGTGATGCAGGAGTAGAAAACTGTATGTACCTCATTTGAGACCCACGTGGCCAGTTTACTTTGGTTTTGTTCTATTTTCTGAATAGTAGGAAATACCCAATGAAAACATAAGTAGAGTGATACAGACCAATCTCTAGGTTTAAAAAAGAAAATACAGGAACACAAAAGCAAGATCTTCTCAAGGTAGAAAGATATTTGTAGGTGAAAGATTAATTGCTACAATGTTTGCAAACTATCTAAATGTTATGACACCCAGTGTTGTAGGAGATAACTTTTGAAGAATTAAGCAATATGGAAATGCAATAGGGTCATTTTGACTTGTTTTTTTAAAACTCAAATGAAAAACCTGCATTACATGAATAATAATCTTTGCATTTCAGATGACTCTGAAACAGAAAAGATTATTTTGCATCTACAAATATTTGTAATTGATTATCCTGTCATCTTCTGTTATAGAGAAAACATGGTCTGACTTCAAGAATATAGTAGGATAATTTATATATTGTTTTTAAAACCTCTGCCAGTTTTTGATCAGGGAGGTAGAGGGGGTGAAACCACAGTGGAAAGATCTTAAACATGTCTTTTTATTTTTATTTGTTGTAATTGAATTGTTTACCACAATGGCTCTATATTCTGCAATCGCCTTCACTTCTGCTTTGTTTTTTTCATATCTTTCACTTTCTCTTTTTTCCCTTTCAGCCTCAGCTTCTGCAATATCTCTGGCAATAATCAAATCTTCATTGTCAAGTTTCTCTTTTATTAGTTCACTCAGGAAGTTATTAATTCTTTCCCTTCGTTCTTCCATTAGCCTATAACCAAATAACCATAATTTGTCAAATTTTCATAAACAGAACGGTTATATGGAGCCAGCATAATTTAGTTAAGGAGTCTGAGATATTTTACAAACTTCTACAGAAATAAAAGGAGCCCCACTACTTCTTATATATCTTGATTGTTTTAAGTGGAAATTATTTTTTATAATTATAAAGTAACATATATTCTAAAAATCCAAAGAGGGTAATAAGCATAGTATGATCTTATCTATATACACTCACTCCTCACTTATCGACATGGTTAGGTTCCAAAGACCAGGTGGTTAGTCGAAAATCAGCATTATGCAAAAATGGAGGATGACTACATCATTACATAACTGCCAAATTGCATCATTACATGACTGCCAAACCACTAAGAATCATGGCCCAGCCAAGGTGACACAAACTTTTACCATCACAGCCAGCATTACTCTCATCTCACACCTCACTGTTTGTTACTGCCAGATGTACGCCATTAATGTGCAAAATAGTCGGACAGTAATTTTTTTACCAATGTCATAAATGGGAAATGTCAGATAACCACAGTCGATAAGGAGTAGGTGTACATATGATCTTACTTATACATATAGGAGATAATGTGTTAAAATTCTCCATATTGAAAAACACTGTAAAATGTTTTATTAGACTATCCTGCTTACTCTAATATTGAAGGCTTAGGCCATAAAAGTAAATCAAGTTTTTTAAATAAAACCATGAAAATGGCAATAAAAGTTATCAAAATCCTGAATAAATATCTATCCTCTTACTATACCCTGTCTGCAATTTATTCATAGCCCTTTACTGACTTGATCTGTTTATAATGTCTGTCTTTGTTTACACACTGTGAGATTCCTGAGGTCCAAGGCCTAGCGGAGTGCCTGGTAAATCATTAACAATAAATGCATGTTTGTTGAGGAATGGAAGCATTGTCATTTAGGAAATCGGGCAAAAAATACTCAAATGTAGTGACAAATTCACCAATTTACTGAGTGAATGCTATGTGCAAAGCAATGTGTGATAAATCATGAAAAAGAATACAGTGTATGCCCCCAAGGAAATTACAATCTAAAATGCAGAAGCCATTTATACAAATAACTACATAAGGCAAAGGGTGATAAATGCTATGAGATAGCTAGAAAGTGATATGAACAAAAGAGAAAAAAAGGAAGGCATCGTGGAAAAGATGGCATTTCAGCTAAGCTTTCAAAAACAATATTTTAAACATTTATTGATTGCCTACTACATGCCAGATATTATTCCAGGTGCCGGGGATATGAAAGCGAACACAAACGTTAAAAATCTCTGCCCTTCTGGGGCTTTCCTTATAGTTGCGAAAGAAGGACAATAAACAAAATAATTAAAATATACAGTGTTATATCATGCATGAGGAAAAAGAAAACAGTTAAAGGTATAAAAATGGGAGGAGGTGTAATTTTTAAAAAGAGAGGGCCTCAATGAGAAGGTAATATTTGAATAAAGACCTGAAAGAGTTAAGGGAGCAAGCCATGTGTTCTCTGGAGGTGAGCATTCCCCAGGGAGAAGGCCAGCATGAGTAGAGCAGAGGGAGGGAAGTAGAGCATAGTAAGATATGAGTCTGAGAGATGGGGCTGGGTCGGCTGGGAATTAGGGTGGATGTAGAGCCTATGAAGAGGCCCCGATGGTGTACTGGTTAAAGAGCTCAGCTGCTAACCAAAAGTTCAGCAGTTTGAATTCACCAGCTGCTCCTTGGAAACTCTATGGGGCAGTTCTACTCTGTTCTACAGAGTTGCTATGAGTTGGAACTGACTCATCGGCAATGGGTTTGGTTTTGGGGTTTTTTTAGAGCCTATGAGCCATTGTGAAGACTCTAACGGAGATGCAAAACCATCAGAGGATTTTGCACAAGGGAATATTATGATCTGGATAGAAACAGTGTATTGCAATCTAGCCACTTACTCCTTTCTCTACCCTATCCTCCCTTCTAAACTGCTCACTGAAGTAGCAATGACCTTTAAGTCTGATGGATGCTTCATTTAAAAATCTCACTGAATCCCTCTATAGATCTAACACTGATCACTACTCCATCTCCAACTCACACCTCTCTAGCAGATCAGTATTTCCAGCCATCCAGGTAGATGTCCTTGAAATTTCAAGAATACTTCAACTCATATGTCCCAAACTGAAATCATGTCAATAAATGACCTAGTCATATGTAAAATAATGAGACCTCTGTTCCTAAAGACCACTCTCATATCGCAACTTCTGATTTGTAATGAAACAATTTCAGACAGTACTTTATTAATTATGTAAGATATAGCCTACCTGTGTGTTTCAGCTTCTTTATTATTCTTCATTTGTGTAAGACGCTTCTTTGCTTTGATAAAGTTTCTAATCTTTTCATCTTCCTCCGCTTGCTGCTGCTGTTCTACAGCTTTGATGATATTTTTATCATTCATATGTTCCTTAAAGAAAAAAACTGTGTATTATACTATCAAACACCTTTCAACATATTAATATCTAACAAGAACTTGTCAAATGGTCACAGCTTCTGAACCAGTTATTTCTCTCCTGGAAATTTATCCCAGATGATAAGATGTGCAAAAAAATTAATGTACCATGTTATTTATCTCACTTATTTATGATAGCCAAAAATTGGAAACAACCTCTAAATATTCACTAATAGAGAGATGGTCAAATCAAATTCTCAGCGATATGAGAAGATACAAATAATTGGTAAATGGGGAGAAAGAGTAGAATATAAAACATTACATAGTATATCCCAATATTGGAAATATATATAAATACAATAACATATATGACTGGAAGAAATGTACCAGAATATTAACAGCAGTTATCTCTGGGTATGAGATTATCGGTGACTTTTACATCTTAATGTCTTTCTATATTTGTTTTCAAATATCTCATTCCTTTAAAAAATGTACAACTAAAAATAATTATATAATCAGAAAAATACATTAAATATGTATAATTTTCATTTAATTTTTGAATGGGTAACAGTCACATGGTTCAATTTTTTTTTAAAGGTATACATTGTAAAGTCTCATTCCCACCCCATCCACTACCTGCCTATTCCTGATCCCCCTCACTAGACTAAAAAAAATAAAATAAAAAATCACTGTTACTAGTTTCTTATCCAGCCTTTCTCTTTGCATATACATATAAACAAGCAATTACAGATGTAAATGCTAACAAAAAGTTTTTAATAGGTTGCTATTTTTTAAATAATAAAAATCTGTTCATTATCAGCATCTGTTCCATGACCCCAGCCTGAGTTAGCTATTGTAAAATAGATGCCTTTGAGGACAATAGCCTGGGTACATAGATATATTAGTGCATCCTGTTACTATAAATGGAAACCAATTCAAGGTGAAGGTGTACTGAGCATGTTGTTAGATGCAACGTTCATTCTTCCAATACATGTGTAACTAAGGGACTAATATGTGCCTAGTTCTTCAATACACTTCTAATTTATGGGCTGTTACTTTTAAAAACTTGTAATCTGGTTATAAGATAAATTAGTCAACATGAAAAGCTAATGAAAACACCAAATTGTTAAAAGTGACTGTTTTGCATGATTTCTTAAAGTTTTATTTTGCTGTTTTTTTCAGGGTTATTATAATGATCACAGACTTTTTATAATACAAAAAAAATACAGGTAATTAACACAAAGTTAATTCTCATTTTTAAAAATTGAAAGGCTCAGCTCAAGGCCACATAGCTAGTAAGTAGCAGAGTCAGCACTCAAAACCAGGTCTGCCCTATGCCAAAGTGACTTGGAGAGAGAAAAAATATTGCATCCGTGTTTTGTTATATATATATAATATATGTATATATATATATATATATTACCACAATAAAAAACATAATACTCAAAAAAATATTGCATCCGTGCACCAAGAACAAGGTTTTATTAAAAAAGGAACAGTAAGACTGTAATTGAAACTCTTAGAAATTAAAATATTGATAGATAAAATAAAAATTCAAAAGAAGGCTCAGAAGACAAAGTTGAGAAAACTTTCAAAGTAGAACAAACACCCAAAAATGCAAAATAAGAGAAATAGCAGAAACAATTAGTTGCCTACTGAAGATTCTTTTTTCTCTTCTTCACTAGTAGCAGGACCCAAATTTTAATCAGGGTTGCAATATGCTCAGCTAAAAGACTTACATTTCTCAGTTTTGTTTTGTTTTTTTCAGCTAGGTACGACTAAACTATGAGCAATGAGATTTAAGTGGAAATTAAGTGGGACTTCTGAGAAGGCTCCTTAAAAAGGAGGACAGATAGCCAGGACACTCCTTTTTGTCATTCATCCTTTCTCCCTTCCAGCACCTATTCAGAGCCATGAAACAATCTTGAGGACAGAAACCATCCATTTTCCAAGAATAGCAGAACAAAAAAAAGAAGGTGCCTCAGTTTCTATTGACTCTGGAGGTGCTGTACTAGCCCAGGAATGGTTTACCCCTGTATTTTAAGCCCGTATTTGTTTGCGCCACTATTATTGGGGGTATTCTGTTATGTTTTTGAGCCTACTCCTAACTAATAAAATGAAAAAAGATTTTTAAAAATCAGAGAATCAATTCAGAAAGTCCAATATCTATCTAGGAAGGGTTCTAGAACCAGAGAATAGAAAAATGAAAGAGAACAAAATTATCCAAGAAATAAAGCATGAAAAGTTCCCAGAATGAAAGGAATATGAGTTTCCAGATTAAAAGTATCAACTGAGTGCCCAGAAAAATGAATGAGAAACACCTATATCCAGATGGTTTCACTTGTGAATTTTACCAAACATTTAAAGAATTAACACCAAGCCTTCTCAAACTCTTCCAAAAAATGGAAGAAGAGGGAACACTTCCCAACTTACTTTACAAGGCCAGCATTACCCTAATACCAAGCCAGACAAAGACATTACTAGGAAGGTAAAATACAGACCAGTATCTCTCATGAACATAGATACAAAATTCCTCAACGAAATATTAACAATCAAATGTAATAATGTATAAAAAGAATTATACACCACGACCTAGTGGGTTTATCCGAAGTATGCAAGACTGGTCTAACATTCAAAAATCAGTCAATGTAATTACTATTAACAGGCTAAAGAAGAAAATTCATATGTTCATATCAATAGATACAGGAAAAGCATTTGAAAAAATCCAACACTCATTCATGATAAAAACTAGGAATAGAGGGGAGCTTTCTCAACATGATACAGATCATCTACAAAAAATTATATAGCTAACATCATAGTTAATTGTGAAAAACTAGATACTTTCACCCTAAAACTAGGAATAAAACAAGTATATCCCCACTCACCACTCCTACTCAACATTGCACTGGAAATCCTTGCTAATGTAATTAGATAATAAAAGGAAATAAAAAGTATATAGACTTGTAAAAACAACAACTTACAAGCAGATACGCAGCAGATACATACGCTGAATAGGGGAAGGAGGGCATATAGGAATGTACTCACATACATATACAGGCTAGTCTGTGGATATTTTTACATACATATTTCTATGTACAGCATGTATATTCATACATATAATAGAGCACAAAGGGGGCACAGTCATAGATGCTTCCTAGACACATCCAAACACCTTGAGGGACTGAGTTCCTGGGGCTGAGGGCCGGGGACCATGCTCTCGGGGGACATTTAGGTCAATTGGTGTAACATAGTTCATAAAGAAAATGTTCACATCCTACTTTGGTGAGTAGTGTTTGGGGTCTTAAAAGCTTGCCAGCAGCTATCTAAGATACATCTATTGGTCCCATCGAGTCCAGAAAAAAGGAGAATGAAGAAAACCAAAGATACAAGGAAAATATTAGTCCAATGGACTAATAAACTACGTGAACCACAGCCTCCACCAGCCTGAGGTCAGAAGAACTAGATGGTGCCCGGCTATCATCAGTGACCACTCTGACAGGGGTCACAACAGAGGGTCCTGGACAGAGGGGGAGAAAAATGTAGAACAAAATTCAAATTCACAAAAAAAGACCAGACTTACTGGTCTGACAGAGACTGGAGGAATCCCTGAGACTATGGCCCCTGGATACATTTCTAACTCAGAACTGAAGCCACTCCTGAAGTCCACCTTTTAGCCAAAAATTAGACAGGCCTATAAAACAAACAGTAACACACATGGGGAACATGCTTCTTAGATCAATCAAGTATACAAGACCAAATGGGCAACACCTGCCCAAAAACAAAGATGAAAAGGCAGGAAGGGACAGGAAAACTGGACAAACGGGAAGGGGGAACCCAGAGTGGAAAGGGGTAGAGTGCTGACACATTGTGAGGATTGCAACCAATGTCACAAAACAATTTGTGTATAAATTTTTGAATGAGAAACTAATTTGCTCTGTAAACTTTCACCTAAAGCAAAATAAAATTAAAAATAATAATTTTTAAAAAGTATACAGATTAGGAAGGAAGAGATAAAACCATCATCGTTTGTAGATGATATGACTGTCTATAGAAAATTCCAAAGAACTGACCAAAAAACGCTCCTAGAACTAACAAGTGATTATAGCAAGGTAGCAGGATTACCTGCTGTCATCAAGTTGATTTCGACTCAAAGGATACCAGGTTAATATACAAAAGTCAACTGCCTTCCTATGTACCAGCAATGATCAATTGTAATTTGAAATTAAAAACACAACACCATTTACATTAGCACCAAAAAAAATTTAAGTATAAATCTAACAAACTATGTACAAAAGAACTATATGAGAAAAACTACAAAATTCTAATGAAAGAAACCAAAGAAGATCAATTAAATGGAGAGATAGTCCACGTTCATGGATAGAAAGACTTAATATATTATTAAGATGTCAATTCTTCCCAACTTGATCTATAAATTCAACACAATCCCAACCAAAATTCCAGCAAGTTCCAAAGAAAGGTGATTCAATGGAAATGCAGAAATTACTGAACAATATCATTAATATCACATGCAAGTAAAATTATGTTGAAGATGATTCAAAAACAGTTGCAGAAGTACATTGACAGGGAACTTCCAGAACTTCAAGCTGGATTCAGAAGAGGACACAGAATGAGGGATATCATTGCTGATGTTAGATGGATCTCGGCTGAAAGCAGAGAATACCAGAACGACGTTTACCTGTGTTTTATTGACTATGCAAAGGCATTCTCTGTGGATCATAACAAATTATGGATAACGTTGCAAAGAATGGGAATTCCAGAACACTTAATTGTGCTCATGAGGAACCTGTACATAGATCAAGAAGCAATTGTTTGGACAGAACAAGGGGATACTACATGGTTTAAAGTCAGAAACGGTGTGCATCAGGGTTGTATCCTTTCACCATACCTATTCAATCTGTATGCTGAGCAAATAATCTGAGAAGCTGGACTATATGAAGAAGAGAAGGGCATCAGGACTGGAGGAAGACTCATTAACAACCTGAGATATGCAGATGACACAACCTTGCTTGCTGAAAGTGAAGATGACTTGAATCACTTACTGATTACACCACAACATAAAGAAAACAAAAATCTTGACAACTGGACCAATAAGCAACATCATGATAAGTGGAGAAAAGACTGAGGTTGTAAAGGATTTCATTTGACTTGGATCCACAATCAATACCCATGGAAGCAGCAGTCAAGAAATCAAAAGACGCATTGCACTGGGCTAATCTGCTGCAAAAGACCTCTTTAAAATGTTGAAAAGCATAGATGTCACCTTGAAGACTAAGGTGCGCCTGACCCAAGCCATGGTATTTTCAATCACATCATATACATGCGAAAGCTGGACAATGAATAAGGAAGACTGAAGAAGAACTGACGACTTTAAATTGCAGTGTTGGCAAAGAATACTGAATATACCATGGACTGCCAAAAGAACGAACAAATCTGTCTTGGAAGAAGTACAACCAGAATGCCCCTTAGAAGCAAGGATGACGAGACTACGTCTTACATACTTTGGACATGTTGTCAGGAGGGATCAGTCCCTGGAGAAGGACATCATGCTTAGTAAAGTAGAGGGTCATTGAAAAAGAGGAAGACCCTCAATGAGATGGACTGACACAGTGGCTACAACAATGGGCTCAAGCATAACGATTGTGAGGATGGTGCAGGTCTGGGCAGTGTTTCACTCTGTAGTACACAGGGTCACTAGGAGTTGGAACCAACTCGATGGCACCTAACAACAACAACAACTCAATCTGTATGCTGAGTAAATAATCCGAGAAGCCAGACTATATGAAGAAGAACGCAGCATCAGGATTAGAGAAAGACTCATTAACAACCTGAGATATGCAAATGGCACAACCTTGCTTGCTGAAGGTGAAGAGGAACATGAAGCACTTACTGATGAAGATCAAAGACTACAGCCTTCAATATGGATTACACCTTAACATAAAGAAAACAAAAAGCTGCACAACTAGGCCAAGAAGCAACATCTTGATAAACGAAGAAAAGATTGAAGTTGTCAAGAATTTCATTTTACTTGGATCCACAATCAACGTCCAAGGAAGCAGCAGTCAAGAAATCAAAGGATGTATTGCACTGGGCAAATCTGCTGCAAAAGACCTCTTTAGTGTTAAAGAGCAAAGATGTCACCTTGGTGACTAAGGTGCACCTGACTCGAGCCATGGTGTTTTCAATTGCCTCATATGCAAAAGCTGAACAATGAAAAAGGAAGACTGAAAAATTGATGCCTTTGAATTATGGTGTTGGCAAAGAATATTGAATTTACCATGGACTGCCAGAAGAACGACCAAATATGTCTTGGAAGAAGTACAGCCAGAATGCTCCTTAGAAGCAAGGATGGCGAGACTTAGTCTCACGTATCAGGAGGGACCGTTCCCTGGAGAAGAATATCATGGGTCAGCGAAAAAGAGGAAGACCCTCAGTGAGATGGATTGACACAGTGGCTGCAACAATGGGCTGAAACCTAACAACAGTTGTGAGGATGGCAGGACGGGGCAGTATTTCAGTTTGTTGTACGTAGGGTCGCTATGAGTCAGAACCAACACAGTGGCACCTAACAACAACATAACATTTTGTGGATATCTAAAAACCGATTCTAAAATTTATATGTGAAGGCAAAAGACTAAGAATAGCCAACACAGTATTAAAGAAGAACAGAATTGGAGAAATGACCCCACCCAACTTCAAGGCTTACTATAAAGCTACATTAAGGCAGTGTGGTTTTGGCAAAGGAACAGATTAGTGGAACAAAACAAAAGCCTAGAAAAGGACCCACACAAACAGTCAACTAATCTTTGACAAAGGAGGAAAAGCAATTAAGTGGAGAAATGATAGTCTTTTTAACAAATGGTGCTGGAACAACTGGATATCTACATGCAAAAAAAAAAAAAAAAGAATCTAGACACAATCTTTCTAAAAAATTAACTACATTGGACCCTAAATGTAAGATATAAAACTATACAACTTCTAGAACATAACATAGGAAAACATCTAGGAGACACCAAAAGCACGATCCACTAAAAAAAAAATTGGGAAGTTGGACTCCATTAAAACTAAAAATTTCTGCTCTTCAAAAGACACAGTTAAGAAAATGATAAAAGAAGCCACAGACTGGGAGAAAACATGTAAAAAAAAAAAAAACGTATCTGATAAATAACTTGTATCTAAGATATAAAACAACTCTTAAAACTTAACAGCAGGAATACAAATAATCCAATTACAAAATGGGCAAGAAATCTGAACAGAAACCTCACCAAAGAAAATAAACAAATGGCAAATAAGAGTACGAAAAAATGCTCCACATTATACGTCATTAAGGAATTGCAAATCAAAACAATGAGATACCATTACATACCTATTAGAATATCTAATATCCAAAACAATGACAACAGCAAATGTTGACATAGATGTGGAACAACAGGAACTCTCATTCATTGCTGGTGGGAATACAAAACGGTGCAGTCACTTTGGAAGACAGTCTGGCAGTTTCTTACAAAGCTAAACATAGGCTTATTAGATCCAGCAATCATATTCCTAGGTATTTACCCAAATAAGTTGAAAAACTAGGTCCACAAAAAAACTTGTACACAAATCTTTAGAGCAGCTTCATTCATAATTGCCAAAAATTGGAAGCAACCAAGATGCTCTTAAATAGGTGAATGGATAAATGAACTGTGGTGTATCCATACAATGATTATTCAAGAATAAAAAGAAATAAACTATCGAGCCACAAAAAAAATATGAAGGAACATTAAATGCATACTGCTAAGTGAAAGAAGCCAGTAAAAGAAAGTTACAATTCCAACTATATGACATTCTGGAATAGGTAAAATTATAGAGACAGTGAAAATATCAGTAGTTTCCAGGGGGTCAGTGGAGGGGGAGGTATGAATAGGTGGAGCACAGTGCATTTTTAGGGTAGTGAAACTATTCTATATGATACTGTAATGGTGGACACATGACATTAAGCATTTGTCAAACCCCGCAGGGCTACATTCACAAAGAGTGAACCCTAATGTAAACTATGAACTTTAGTTAGTAATAATATGTCAATATTGGTTCATCAATTGTAACAAACATACCACAGGAATGCAAGATGTTAACAGGAGAAACAATGTGCAGGAGGGAGGGGGTATATGGGAGCACTCTGTACTTTCTGCATAATTTTTCTGTAAACCTAACTGCTCTAAAAAATAAAATCTATTAAAAAAAAAAAAAAACCTACACCAAGGCACATCACTGTGAAATTTTAGAGCACTACAGATAAAGAAAAGATCCTAAGAACTTTGAGAGAGAAAGAAAAAAAAAAAAAGATCACATACAAAGGATGAAGACTATGGAGCATCATACTTCTCAATAGCAATACTAGAAGCTACATAAATATAAAACCATGAATACAAAATTCTGAATTCTGAAACCAGAATTCTATACCTGGTCAAACTATAAACCAAGTATGACTCTAGAAGATAACTTCTTCAGATAAGAATTCAAAATCATTATCTCTCATACACCCTCCTAGGAAGTCTCTCAAAGATGTATTTCAGCTAGATGAGGGAGTAAACCAAGAAGGAGGAAGACATAAGATTCAGGAAATAGGAGAGGTAGCTCAGGAAAGTGGCACAGGGAAGTCCCAGGTGACAGCTGTGCAGCAGGCCTAGAGAACAAGCAGTCCAGAAGGTCATAGAAGGAAGGAGAACTCTAGAAGGGAGAGCTCTAAGGAAAACAACAAGACGGAATTGGCAGGTAATTTAATATTACTTATTTGAACATTTGAAAAATAATATCAACTTACATTTGACAAAACTTATAAAACATTTGGAAAAAATTGAGGTATACAGTCAACAAAGCAAACTAAAACAAAAATAATTATTTGAATTATAGAAAAACATTATGCAAAGAAATATAATCAAAGTATTACTTAGCTCTGCAGAGAACAATAGTGACATAATAATAAAGATGATGATTTATCTAAAGTTGTGACATAATTCTTTGGGGGCTGGTAGGAAGGAGAAGTGGAAAGGATAGTTATGGAAGAGAGCTAAATTCTTAATTACCAGGATAGCAGCAGAAAATGTGTAAATTTGATATTTCAAGAAACATATATATTTAGAACCTAAAATATATTTTTAAATCTAAATACAGAATATTTAGAATATGCTTTTATACCAGAAGAAACAGGTAAAAGAAATTGGAAGAGGTTACTTCCTGGGAGCATAAAGGGTGAAACAAAGAACTGCTACTCTTCTTTTAAGCCTGTTTGGTGTGAGTGTATTACTTAAGAATAAAAATTAATTTTAAATAGAAAAATTTAAAAAATTACAAAATAAATTACAACAGCCACAAAATATTGAGCACATTATTAACAGCACAGGAGACACCAAACATAAATTACCCCATTCATTCCTCACAATAACTCTCACTTTAAAGATAATAAATTCATCTGGAAAAAAATCTCATTTTCTCTCCCCCGTCTCTTTCATGCATGAGAGCACACAAACATAAAACCACAGCAAATATGTTGTTGTTGCTGTTAGGTGCTGTCACATTGATTCCAACTCATAGTGACCCCATGTGACAGAGTAGAACTGCCACATAAGGTTTTCTAGGCTGTAATCTTTACAGGAGCAGATTGCCAGGTCTTTTCTCCCATGAAGCCTCTGGATGGGTTTCAGCCTCCAACCTTTCAGTTAGGAACCAAGTGCTTAACCATTGCGCACCCAGGCTCCTTAGAGCAAATAGAGCCCTACCTAAAAAAGCATGTTTTCCTTCAGAAACCCAACTTAATAGCAACTTGTTTGCTACTCTACTTCACTTCTATTGTTTAAAAGTTAAGAGTGAGGCATTTTAATCTACATTTTCTGAAGAGATGTACTTTCAACTTACAAAAAACAGTCTCCTGCTTTCATGTATTTCTTCTTTTTTCTTTTCTAGTTTTTTTCTCATTTCTATTTCATATAATGAATTCTGTCGCTTAATTTCCTCAGCATCCTTTTCTTCCTCTTTTCTCTTTCTTTCTTTTTCTTCTTCATGTTCCTTTATTCTAAAGCAAAAATATAATTATAATTGAGCAAAACAGAAAATTAAGTTACATTTTTAAGAAATGAATTAGATACTAACCTGAGATGATTTGAAGCTGCAAGGGGAAATTTGTGAATTTCTTTGGGGGAAAAGAACAACATTTAATAGTGGTGACTAAAACCAAATTCAATTTTGGTCAACCCAGAATTGCCAATACTTTCCTTTCTTCAACATTTGTTTCATTACTCACCAAGTTCCACACCAGATATGAATGTTCTTTTCCTTTGGAAAGAACTATTTAACTGAATGACAGTAAGGGGAAATGGTGGTATCATTTTATAAAAAAGTTCGTAAATCCAGCATTTTAATTTCAGCATTGGACAATGCTATACATCTATGGGCTAGTCCCATGAGATGAGGTTTGATGGAAGGAGAGGAACAAAGTTCTCTTTACTAACTGGCAAGCCACTTTGGTTGTCCTTCCTTCTGTAGTCAACACTGATTGGCTACTGATGCCCTCTAAATGGTAAAAGCCTCCAAATGCTGGCTCTCTCTAAGGGCTTATCCTTGCTGCAGAGCCCTGATCTGGGAGATTTCACATCAGCTCCACCTCTTCAACTCATTTGCTCAACCCCCTTGCACCACCACTACCAGAAGCTCCCATCCTTAGCAGTTTACTGTAAATTCTAGCTGCCAACCCTCTGCAATACTGGCAAGGCAGCTCAAGTCCAAGGTGTCTACTTGCCTATGGGTAACTCATGCATCCTTGCCATGTCAAACAACAAGTGGACAGGGTGTTCCACTGCCACTCTCTATCTGCCATCTCACAGGTCAGATCAACAACCCATCTAAATAAACATACAAGTGAGGAATGAACCCTTGTTGTATATGCAGCAATCTGAAGAACATTTTTCTCAGAGTCTCCTCACTCAGCTTCAGGGAGAGGAAAATTCCCTTCCCCTATGCCACAGTGGACTATACAATCAGGTGAGCCAGTACGTTCACTTTGTATTGTGAAGTCATTAAGTCAGTTCAGGGCAGGCGATCCCTAACTGATTTATCTGTACAGAGTAAGCAGCTTTAGGGTCAGCATCACTCTCTTCAAGGCAAGGTAAGAAAAAGGTTACTGCTGGCCACAGCTAAACCAGGTTTATGTTTGCCTTAAAGAAGACTAGGTTTTTTTTCATTTGTATTTATTTTGCTAGAACCATTTAATGTTTTCTATCTACCAATCTTTTAGAAGTAAACCCTCAAGTCAACAATCAAGATTTAAAGAACATTATAAAAAGAGATGTATCTAATTTTGAAAAGCTTTTGAAGTTCTTAAATTGCTGCTTTAAGGAGAAAAATATTTAAAAATCTACAACTTCTATACCATATGATCCAGTAATCCCAGTCCTTGGAATATATCCTAGAGCATTAACAGCCATCATATGAATAGATTATGCCCATGTTCACTGCAACACTGTTCACAATAGCAAAAAGATGGAAACAACCTAGGTGCCCAACAACAGATGAATGGATAAACATATAGTATATTCACACAATGGAATACTACACAACGATAAAGAACAATGATGAAGCCACGAAACATCTTATAACGAGGAATCTGGAAGGCATTATGCTGAGTGAATTTAGCCAGTCACAAAAGGACAAATATCGTATAAGACCACTATTATAAGAACTCAAGAAAAGGTTTAAACACAGAAGAAAACATTCTTTGATGGTTATGAGGGTCGGGAAGGAGATGGGTATTCACTAACTAGATAGTAGATAAGAATTATCTTAGGTGAAGGGAAGGACAGCATACACTCCAGGGGAAGTCAGCACAACTGGACTAACCCAAAGCTAAGAAGTTTCCTGAATACAACCAAACACTTCGAGGGACAGAGTAGCAGGGGTGAGGGTCTGGGGACCATGGATTCTGGGGACATCTAGGTCAACTGGCATAACAAAGTTTTTTAAGAAAATGTTCTGCATCCCACTTTGCTGAGTGGTGTCTAAAAAGCTAGTCAGCAGCCATCTAAGATGCATCGATTGGTCTCAACCCACCTGGAGTAAAGGAGAATGAAGAACAACAAAGACACAAGGAAAGTATTAGCCCAAGAGACCGAAAGGGCCACATAAAGCAGAGACTTCATCAGCCTGAGACCAGAAGAACTAGATGGTGCCCAGCTACCACAATGACTGCCCTGACAGGGAACACAACAGAGAGTCCCTGACAGAGAAGGAGAAAAGCAGGGTGCAGAACTCAAATTCTAGTAAAAAGACCAGACTTAATGGTTTGATTGAGACTAGAGAGACCCCAGAAGATATGGTCCCTGGACTCTCTGTTAGCCCAAAACTAAAACTATTCCTAAGGCAAACTCTTCAGACAAAGATTAGACTGGACTATGGGACATAAAATGGTACTCATGAAGAATGTGCTTCTTAGCTCAAGTAGATACATGAGACTAAATGGGAAGCTTCTCTCCAGAGGTGAGATGAGAGGGCAGAGAGGGTCAGGGCTGGTTGAATGGTGTCTTAGTCATCTAGTGCTGCTCTAACAGAAATACCACAAGTGGATGGCTTTGACAAAGAAAAGTTTATACTCTCATAGTCCAGTAGGCTACAAGTCCAAATTCAGGGCATCAGCTCCAGGAGAAGGCTTTCTCTATCAGCTCTGGAGGAAGGTCCTTGTGATGCATCAGTCTTCCCTTGATCTGGAAGCATTTCAGCGCAGGAACTTCAGGTCCAAAGGACGCGCTCTGCTCCCAGCACTGCTTTCTTGGTGGTGTGAGGTTCCCATGCGTCTCTGCTTGCTTCTCTCTTTTATATCTCAAAAGAGATTGGATTAAGACACTATCTAATCTTGTAAACCTTATCAGTATAACCTCATCATAGTGATAGAGTTTACAACACACAAGGAAATCACATATAACCTCATCATAGTGATAGAGTTTACAACACATAAGGAAATCACATCAGATTTACAAAATGATACACAATCATACAATACTGGGAATCATGACCCAGCCAAGTTGATAGATATTTCTGGGGGACACAATTCAGTCCATGACAAATGGACATGGGAAATCCAGGGTGGAAAGGAAGAGTGTGCTGTCACAGTATAAGGAGATCAACTAGGGTCAAAAAACAACATATGTATAAATTTTTGTATGCAAGACTAACTTGAATTGTAAAGTTTCACTCAAAGCACAAAAATAAAAAAAAAAACCTACAACTTCTAAATTTTTAACAAATCTGGATATCACTAACACTAAATCTACAGGGTCATTATGAGTTGGAATCAACTCAACAATAATGGGGGGATGGGGAGTGCATACATTGGATAACTCATTGTTTCAGAAAAAAAAGACATATTCTAAGAAAGAAGAAGAACATACATGTCTCTAGTGTTAGTGATGTGGTTATACTGTCAGTGATTTATAAATAATTTACAATAATTAAATAAAATTTAATTATCTGACAGTTTGGGTAGACTTAGTTTGGGTAGACTGCTCAACTATCTGCCATTAATTTGGTTTAGTGCAAAGTTAACATTTTGATGATAATGTGAGATCCTCTAGTTCAGGGAAGAAATACACAATATTTATATCTATATCTCTACTTCCAACTCCCAAGCCCACAGCAGACATCAGTAATCAACACAACACTCTTTCCTGCTGAGTCTTGGCACTTCTCAACCCAACGTTCTGGGCAGCGTCTTTCAAGCAATCAGAGTAGAATTTGTCATGAAACCTTTTGCTACCCTTAATTCACATTCTGAAGGTTCCAAATTTATCTAGCCTAGGCCTGATTCTAAGAAGCCCTCGCGGCACAGTGGTTAAGTGCTTGGCTGCTAACTGAAAGATAGGAGGTTTAAACCCACTAGTGCATCAGGTGATCTGCTCCTGTAAAGATTACAGCCTAGGAAATCCTATGGGGCAGTTCTATGCTGTCCTATAGGGTCACTATGAGTCAGAATCGACTGGATGACAACAGGTAGACCTGATACTTGAGCTTCAGCACTCTACACAGACAACTCACTAGTCATCGCCACCTGGCTTTTTCACAGGTGACTCACATTCACTATGTTTAAAACCAAATTCATCTTCCTCTTCGAAGTCACCTTCTTTTCGGTTTCTTTTCCTTATCTCAGTGAAAAGAACTATCATCTTCTTAGCTGCCCACACTAGAGACTTAAGAATCATACTTAACTTAGATACCTTATTCATTTATTTAACAACTATCAATTGATTTCTACTATAACGATGAAACAGACTAACCTGGTTCCTGACCTCAAGAGGCTTACATTTTAGTGGGGAGACAGGCAAGAAAATAAAAAGTAAATAGACAAATAATGTAATTATAAGTCATGATAAGTACTACAAAGAAAACAAGGAACCAAGAAAGAAAGTAACAATTATTTATTTTCAATAACTTTGGATAGAGCTGTTCTTTCAGAGAGGAAAGGCCATTTTGAGCTAGTGAGAAGGCTACTGGTAAAAGGTAAAATTCCAGGCAGATAATAACCACGTGAAAAGCCCCGGAGGCAGGCAAGGGTTTGTTGTGCTCCAGGATCTGGAAGATCAGTGAAACTGAAGCATAATAAACAAGAGGAAGGAGTTGTGGGAGATGAGGTTGGAGAAGCAGATAAGACCAAATAACACGGTCTTACAGGAGAAGGTAAAGTTTGGAAAATGAATAGAAACCCATTGAAATGTTTTAGGCAGGAGAATTATATGATCAATTTTCATTTTAATAAGATTTCTCTGGAGATGGATGGAGAAGTGAATAGGAAATAAGAGAGAACGGAAGGCCAGTTAAGAGGCTGATGCAATAATCCACAGGACAAGTAAGTGTGGCCTGGACTAAGATTATAGCAAGAAGTTTAAAACTGATTTTGGCAGGAAAAAATCAACGTGAATTGCTAACAGATGTGATATAAGAGATAAAAGAAAATGAAGAATCAAGGTGGATTCCTAGGTTTCTGCTTTGAACAACTGGGTCAATAAGGATGCCACTGGAAAGTTCACTGGG